CTTAGTTCTAGGTTGCTTCTCTCCTTAATTATTTTCCATCCATTGTTTCTTGTCTTGTCTTCTGAGGCTTTGGTAAATAGTTTGCCCCTTTCATCTTTATGCAGGCCCTTCAAATATCGAAAAACTGCTATCGTAGCACCCCAGTCCTTCTTTTCGCTAGACTAAAGGTAAAGGTTCCCCTCTCACATACGTGCCGGTCGTTTCCGGCTTTAGGGGGCAGTGCTCATCTCCGTTATAAAGCCGAAGAGCCAGCGCTGTCCGAAGACGTCTCCATTGTCATGTGAGCGGCATGACTAAACGTGAAGGTTCATGGAACGTTGTCATTGAGGGCCACAGCAGGGTTGCGTTTGACCTTGGGAGGCCAGGGTGGGCGTGGCCAGGGTGGGCGTGGCCAGCTCGGCATCACTCGTGACGGGGGTGCCTGTGGTCGCTCGAGCACTCTGTAAGAGAAAATGGGCTCCCAAGCTCTGTTTTCGGCTGCAATGGCCTCCTGCAACCCTCTGCCAGTGAAAATGGAGCTCGGGAGGACCACACATCTACCCTCCCGAGCTCCATTTTCACTGGCAGAGTTACTGAGGGCTGGTTCTTTGCTGTTTCCAGGGCAGCTCCGTGGGCCAGATGTAAGCACCCACAGGCTGGATCCAGCCCCTGGGCCTTGAATTTGACACCCCTGCTGTAGGGGAAGGGAATGTGAATGGGGTATACTGGAACAGGACACAGCTGATTGGCTGGCGGGGATCCTCAACAGGAGTGCTCTACACCAGGGGTCCCCAACCTCTGGACTGCAGCCCACTACCAGGCCATGGCTGATTCACAACCGGGCCGCAGGCCGGTACATACGCATATGCAGGGGTGGGATTGTACTAGTTCGCACCTATTCACTAGAACCGGTTGTTAACATTCTAAACAGTTTGGAGAACTGGTTATTAGAAAAAATTACAAGCCTAATCCTGTAAGGAAGGCAGGAAGAAAACATTCTGGTGTTGCTTACAGAAACTGCCTCTCCGTTAACCCTTATTACATTCTTGGCAGGACTAGACTTCCTGTCTCTGGAACTTCTCTGGAGCTTTTCCCCCCTCCTTTGCTGGTACTTTGCTTGTGTGGAGTGACCATTCAAAGTTACAATGGCACTGACAAAAGTGACTTATGACCACTTTTCACACTTACGACTGTTGCAGCATCCCCACAGTCATGAGAGGCCAGGCGAGGAGATGCGTGCCTCAATGTGAGTGATATTGAGTTGGCCATGCCCAGCCAATAACATGACCACCAAGCCATGTCCACCCAGTCACATGACCACCAAGCCATGCCCACCACCTAAGCCACACCCACAGAATCGGTTGTTAAAAAATTTGAATCCCACCCCTGCGCATATGTCATGCAAGTGATGGGCCGCCCACATGCCTGCATGCAGCTTGACTTGTGCGAGTGGCGGGCTGTCATGCATGCACATGTGCACACACCTCCACTTGCAATCAAGCTGCATGTGCATGCGTGTGTAGGCCGGCTTGCCACTCACAGTTCCATTCTCCCATCCTTCCACCACCACCCCCGCCCAGACAGGCCACCAAGTTGCAAAGGTTGAGGACTGCTTCTTGGCACAGGCGTTCCTCAACCATGACCACTTTAAGATGAGTGGACTTCAACTCCCAGAATTCCCCAGCCAACCGCCAGAGTTGAAGTCCGCTCATCTTAAAGTGGCCATGGTTGAGAAACAGCGCCCTACACTTTTGTACACATTTTTGTTGCAGAATCAACTCATGTTTCAGTGATTTCCTTCCTTCCTTCAATCATATTTTCTAGTTTTCTCTCCTCCCCACCCCACATTAGGAGCAGCTATAAAGACAGGCTAAGAGCACTTGGGATTACAACCTCAAATCGTACCAGTTTGGAAGAAGACAAAGGAAATGCACCCAATGATTCTATTCTTACAGTATAGATATATTTCTAGACTTTCTTGACAGGTTCAGAGTCCCTTTGAACCACGAGATGGGCAGCAAATAAATTTGATCATAATAATGATGATAAGATCCTAAAACATCAACATCTGGCTATTCCAGGCCTTTGGGAAGGACTTGATAGTTGAATAAAAATGTCAAATCCTGGCTGAACATCTGGCATCTAATATTAATAATATTAATAATATTAATAATATTAATAATATTAATAATAATGACCGGTTGCTCCTTCATCCTTATAAATAAAGATTGACAGCATATCCTTCTGTCCATCTTGATTGTCATTCAGACATTTAAAAAAACAATAACCTCAAACCCTAAAAGTGATCCATTTATAGATTTGGAGAACCAAATCTATTCCTCCTGGAACTCTGTGCAACAGAGTAAGACACCTGCCCATTGCCAAGGACAAAGCTCATCGCTTCTTCTACATTCACTTTTCCCCAAATTCTGTGCAATTTCACTAGTTACCACTTCTCTGCATACAGGTAGCCCTTGACTTAGAACCATTCATTTGGCGACCATTCAAAGTTACCATGGCACTGAAAAGAGTGAATGACCACCGGTCCTCAACGTACGACTTTCGTAGTATCCCCAACAGTTGGGTGATCAAAGTTTGGGAGGTTAGCAACAGGCACATATTTACGTTGGTTGCAGAGATCTGGGATCACAGGATGGCCATTTGCAACTTTCCTGTCGGGCTTCGGAAGAGCAAAGTCAATGGGGGAAGCCAGATTCACTTAACGACAGCATGATTCCCTTAATAACTACTGTGGTTTGCTTAACAACCGTGACATTAAAAAAAAAGGATCATAAAATCTAGTGCCACTTAGTAACAATCATCTTGCTTGGCAATGGAAATTCTGGTCCCAACTGCGGTCGTAAGATGAGGACTACCCGTAAGCTTATATACATACATATCAACAATCCTCCAACCAAAATTCCAGCCAAATTTCCAATCATTCAGATTGGTGCCGTTGAGATAACTGCTCCCCCGATGCTTTGCAAAGAGTTGGAAAAGATAGATATGACTCAGAAGATATCAACACTCAGGGATGGCAAGGGAAACAAGAGTTTCGACCTCCAAGCTAGAAAAATGCTCAGGATCTGCTCATTTAAAACCCTGTTATTATTTTTGGTTTTTGTTTTTTTTAAACCACAATAAAGGTTCAGATCCATCCTTGGAAGACCGGTGATGAAATTTTCTAAGGAGAATAGGAATGATGAATGGGAGGACTGGGAAGGCAGTTCCCAATGCTCAGATTCCCTATGTTTTTTTTAACTGAAGCCTCCCTTAGAATACAGGCAGTTCTCTACTTACAGTAATTCACTTAGTGACCGTTTAAAGATACAACGGCACTGAAAAAAAAGTGATTTATGACCGCTTTTTCACACTTACAACTCTCGCAGCGTCCCCGTTTTGATTGTATGATCAAAACTGGCAACGGGTTCCTATTTATGAGAGCTGCAATGTCCCGGAGTCATGTGATTCCATTTTGAGACTTTCTGACAAGGAAAGTCAATGGGGAAGCCAGATTCACTTTGTCAGAAATGGTGCAGGGTCTCCCACTTGGGCGGGAGTTTGGACTAGATGAACTTATAAGGTCCTTTCCAACTCTGATTATCTATTATCTGTTAAAACACTTAATAACCGTGTTCCTAACATAACAATGGCAGCGATTCACTTAACAACTGTGGGAAGAAAAAAGCCAGATGCTTGGCAACTGATTCAAATTTATAGCGGTTGCTGTGTCCATCTTTTGCGGCCTTCTGACAAACAGAATCAATGGGGAAGCCAGATTCACTTAAACAACCATGTACTAACTTACCAACTGCAGTGATTCACCTAACAGTTATGGCCTATGGAAGACTGTAAAATGGGGCAAAACTCACTTCGCACATGTCTCGCCAAACAACAGAAATTTTGCGCTCCATTTTGGTTGTAAGTTGAGGACTACCTGTATTTTGCTACAAATTAGGGACGCACAATAGTTTTTTTGTCCGAGGGCTGCCCTTCATTTTTTGAATGTGTCTGCACTGTAAAAAAAAAAAAGGGGGGGGGGGAATTAAAAAAACTGGGTGTTGGGAGAGGCAATTCCCCAAAGTAAAGTCAATTTAGTTAAATTTATATTCACCTTTAACTAATTTTAATTTACGGTGTTACATACAATTTGTACGATTTCTCTCCATGGCTTTAATTATTTCCCATTTCAAGCGCTGTAAAAAAAAATAAATCACAATCTGGTGGCAGGTTTTGAGCATCTCAAGCCAGTGACATCGAAGGTTTTCACAACTATGGTTAACCCTAGGCCTGAGATCGTACGTACATCCCTGCTTGGCTCAAAACGCAGACTCCAAAATACCCGATCCTTTCTTTCTTTCTATTTATTTGCTGCCCAGAATGGTTTCATTATGAGATGGGCTGCAAATAAATTCAATCAATCAATCAATCAATATCCTAGAAAAGCCATTTTTCCCCCACTCACATTCACCCTTCCTGGTCATCTTCTCCAGCAATGGATGGCATTGTAAGCAAATTGAACCAAACCACAGCCAACAGAGAGTGGTAAACCAGACCCGTTCAGCTTAGGGGAAACCTGACACTGACTTTTCGTTCTTTTTTTTTGATGAAAGACAGATTCCCCAAATGCCAAGGGCAAAGCTTCCATCAGAGTTTAAATTAAAATGAAAATGAAAACCACAACCAGCAAGCAAGGCACAAAAACTTGAAGTTCCTTTTTCGGAACCCTTTTCGCCAAATTATGGAGCAAGGTTGCTTATCGTAACTACAGCCAATAACTCCAGGGCCCTCCTGGTATCGGGTCAGTCCACTCCTACTGAGGCCACTCCCAGGGGGATGCGCAGCTATAGCACGTCGGTAGTTGAAGCAAGGTTAACAGTCCAAGATGATGGCATCTCAATGGCTTTAGGAGGGGAGCATTTCCTGCCCCCGTGTCTCTTGACAGACGGATGTGCTCAAGACTAGTCGGCTCCTATGGACAAACTACTTCAAAAGGGTGCCCTAACTTTCTCGCCAGTCCTTCAGTCTTTGGCGGGGTGAGCGCTGGTGCTCTTTTGCTTCTGCGGTTCCCCTTTGGAAGATGGCAGCCGACGGGGACCCAATGTCCTGACGTTACTCGCAGCTCCCGCGGATTCTTCGGCGAGCTGCTGAAAAGGCTTTTTCCAACTGCCCTTCCGGTTGCCTTGCTCGGGGCCTTCCTTGGAGGATAAATCCGACATGCTGTGCTCTGTCTTCTGACGGCGAGATGGAGGCCGGGGTCGTGTGGTGTACAAAAAAAGAGCCGGGTCGGGCATGGGTTCGAGGTCTTCCAAACTGCTGAGCCGCTCGCGAGCCACAATGTCCTTGAAGGCCCCTTTGCAATGGAAAGCGCTGCTGGCCTGCCGACGGGTGTGAGATTTCTGAGTCCTCTTTTTGGGCCTAGTCTCAGTGCTGGGTTGGGGGACGGAGGGTTTCTCTGGGGGTCTCTCAGGCAGGGCCGTGCTTTTCTGCCGGGTACCGTGAAGTTTCTGTTTGGTTGAATGAAGCTGGAAGGAGAGGTAAGCGGCCGCCTCTGTCTGTTTCTGCAGCTCCGTGTTAAGGACGGTTACTCGGTGGCTTCTCCTCTTGAGCTCTTCCAAGAACTTCCTTTCTTTGTTCCTCAGGTTGGATCGGAGGGCGGCCACCAAGCTCTCTTTATGCCTCAGCTCCTTGTGCAATTCCAAATTGCCCTTCTCTTTCTCTTTCAATTGGGCTTCCATGATTTTGCACTTTTCTTCCAGTTCCTGGTCTATTACGTCTAATGCAAGCGAGAAACGAAAGACAAAAGAACAGATGTGAGTTCAAAATTCACCATGAAAGTTCACCAAATAGGGTCTCAGGTAAGGATTGACAACCGCTAAAACTGAATACAAATAGGTAAAGGTAAAGGTTCCCCTCACACATGCATGCTAGTCGTTTCTGGCTCTAGGGGGCGGTGCTCATCTCCATTACAAAGCCAAAGAGACAGCGCTGTCTGAAGACGTCTCCATGGTCATGTGGCCCGCATGACTAAATGCCAAAGGCGCACAGAACGCTGTTACCTTCCCACCAAAGTGGTCCCTATTTTTCTATTTGCATTTTTACATGCTTTTAAACTGCTAAGTTGGCAGAAGCTGAATTCTGGGAGTTGAAGTCCCCAAGTCTTACAGTTGCCAAGGTTGGGGACCCCTGTGTTAAGAAACCACAGATCTGTTAATAGTGGAAGATAAAAACTTTTCCCAAGGGAAGGCTCCTCCAGTGAGTAAGCCATTTCTAAATATGTCAGCAAAACAATAAATATGCTGATTCATCCTTGGTTCCCCTTTCTCTTTAAGCCTAACAGGCCCAATTCCATTTAGGAACTTAACACAATGCTGAGTGATTCTGTCATCTTATATCCAGGATACCATAACAAAATAATAGAGTTGGAAGGGACCTTGGAGGTCTTCTAGTCTAACCCCCTGCTCAAGCAGGAAACCCTAAAACATATCAGACAAATGCTTGTCCAATCTCTTCTTAAAAACACCCAGGGTTGAAGCACCACAACTTCTGGAGGCAAGCTATTCCACTGATTAATTGTTCTTACTGTCGGGAAATTTCTCCTTAGTTCTAAGTTGCTTTTCTCCTTGATTAGTTCCACCCATTGCTTCTTGTCCTGCCTTCAGGTGCTTTGGAGAATAGGTTGATTCCCTCTTCTTTGTGGCAGCCCCCCTCAAATATTGGAATACTGCTATCACGTCACCCTTAGTCTTTCTTTTCATTAAACCAGACATACTCAATCTTTGTTATGTTTTAGCCTCCAGTCGCCTAGCTATCTTTGCTGTGCTTCTCTGCACTTTCTAGCGTCTCAATGTCTTTTGGATATAGTGGCGATCAAAACTGGATGCAGTGTTTCAAATGTGGCCTAACCCAGGCATTATAAAGTGGTACCAACACTTCATGTGATCTTGAGTCTATCCACTCATAGATTCTATCCACATATCTGCACACATTCTGGAGAGAGAGAAATGCCCTGAGGAGGGGATCCAGCAGAAGTTTGAAAACTTGGAAAATTAATCTTCTGGTCCCGGTTACCAATCCAGATTAGATTATCCTGGGATTATCCTGGGATAATCTAACAGAGACATTATCCTGGGACACGTACATTTGCGTTCATTTGATTCTATCCCTCTGTGGAAGCAGCAAAGGTGGTATTCAGCCAGTTCTGACCAGTTCTGGAGAACCGGTAGCAGAAATTTTGAGTAGTTCAGAAAACTGATAAATACCTCCTCTGACTGGCCCTGCCAACCCCATCTATTCTCTGCCTCCTGAGTCCCAGCTGATTGGCTGGGTCTTCTTTTGTTGCCCTGCACAGGAGAACGGAGCTGGAAAGCAGGTTAGTGGAGTGGGGAGAGAATGGAGATTTTATAGTATCTTTCCCCTGCCACGCCCACCTACAGAACCAGTAGTAAAAAAAATTGAATACCACCACTGGGAAGCAGCCTACGACTGCCTTGGCTTTTTTGGCAGCTGCAACACACTGCTTGGCTCCCATTTAAGTGGTTGTCCACTAGAACTCCTAGACCCTTCCCATAGTTACTACTATTGAGCCAGGTCCAGAAGCTTGAAAAATAGAGTCTCAAGGATCAGAAATCTGAGATGGCAATCTAAAGTCCAATTTCTACCACTTCTGGAAGTCAGCAACCTAAAACTAAGGAAAGATTTCTTAAGGGTGAGAACAATTAACCCAGTGGAACAGCTTGCCTTCGGGAATTGAGGTGGTCTATCACTGGAGGCTTTTAAGAAGAGACTGGACAGCCACTTGTCTGGAATGCTACAGGGCAGTGTTGGGGAACCTTTTTGGCACCTAGTCCTGAAACAGAAGCGTGCCACGTAAACCGGAAGAGCAGCTCCCCAGCATGCGTGCAGGAGCACTGGAAACTGGAAAAGCAGCTCCCCGGCATGCGCAGTTTGTGGCACGTACATGCACGATGGCTACCTGGTCTTCTCGTTTCTGGCGCGCATGAGCACGTGAAGACCAGCTGGCCGGCATGCATCTACATGCCAGAAACCAGAAGCTCATCTTCCCAGTGTGTACATGTGCACCAGGGAGCTGTTTTTCCAGTTTCCGGCGCTCCCACATGTGCAAAGACCAGTGGAACCCGGAAAAGCAATGGGCGATGGCTGGCATGCCCGGAGAGATGGCTCTGCATGCCACTTCTGGCATGCGTGCCATAGATTTGCCATCACGGGTATAGGGTGTCCTGCTTGAACAGGGGTTTGGACTTGAAGACCTGTAAGGTCCCTTTCAGCTCTGTTGTAATGTTCTGTTCTGACCCAAGAGATGCTAAAAAGTACAGCTGAAGATGGGAAGGCGGTACCAGCTGAATATGTTTTGATGAGCCAGGCGTGTTCTCCCAGGCATGACCAGAGGCAGCTTCCTTGGGATGCTGCCATTTTCTCTCGCTAAGGCTGCCTTCCATCAACATTCCATTCCCCTTACAGTCAGGCATCTGATGCTCTCTGCACCCCCTTTGCTGTATGAACAGCCTCACCTTTTGCCCCGAGGCTGAGAGTGAAAACTTGCACGCCCGAATAAAACCACGGCTTTGTGTGCAGTGGAAAACCCAAGACCCCGTCGTTCAGATCTCCCCAGGGTTCCAAATCTCATTAGCTTTGATCTCTCCTTTGATTTCTAGTTCTTACAACAGAAAGTAGTCTCTGTAGTTTCTTCCCCAAACCCCAAAAACTTTAACCTTAGACTGTCTACTATTGACCTCACCCCTTTCCTAAGAGGTCTGTAGGGGGCGTGCATAAGCGCACCAACGTGCCTACCGACCCTGTCCTATTGTTTTTTCTTATTCGTATCCATTTCATGTATTTATAACCATGTTTATACTTATACCTGTGATTTAATAATCGCTTGGCAAAATAAAATAAAATTAAAAAAAGCAGAAATACACAAGGAGCGTTTCTCAATTTTAGCAACTTCAAAATGCGTGGACTTCAATTCTCAGAATTTTCCAGCCAGCTTGCAAAGTGTTTTTGTGGGGAGGCCCTTGAATAACAATAGCACTTAGACCAAGGGTCTTCAAACTTGGCAAGTTTAAGACTTGTGGACTTCAGCTCCCAGAATTCCTGAGCTAACATGACTGGAGGAAGAATTTTGGGAGTTGAAGTCCACAAGTCTTAAAGCTGTTGAGTTTGAAGACTACTGACTTAGATTTATATGCCGCTGCACACTGCTTTGTTTATAGCCCTCTCTAAGGGGTTTACAGCAGGTGGGATTCTACCAGTTCAGACCAGTTCGGGCAAAACAGATGTTAAGTTTTCATCTGGTTCACCGAACTGGTATTTCAACCGACTGGCTGGCCCTGCCCACCCCGCCCCTCCCCTCCCAGGAGTCTCCACATGGCCCATTTTCGATGCAGGTAAGTGCGGGATCCACGCAGAGACTCTGGGAGGGGGAAAACGGGCCTTCCGGAAGTTCGGAAACAGGCCTGTTTCTGGCTTCTGGAGAGCCTCCAGAGCCCAGGGGAGGCAATTTTTGCCCTCCCAGAGGCCCGGGGGAGGCCTCCAGACCCTTGAGAGGCGAAAAACAGCCCTCCCGGAAGTTCCGGGAGGCCACACCCACCATAGTCACACCCACTCAGCAACCAGGGAGTGAACCGGTTGTTGGGATTTTTGAATCCCACCCCTGGTTTACAGAGTCAGCCTACCGGCCCCAACAATCTGGGTCCTCATTTTACCCACCTCAGAAGGCTGAGTCAACCTTGAGCCTGGTGAGATTCGAACTGCCAAATTGCAGTCAGCCGGCAGTCAGCAGAAGTTGCCTGCAGTACTGCATTCTAACCACTGCGCCACCATGGCTCTTGCATACATACAATACCTTAAATACAGGTAAGTCCTTGACTTACGATCACAAATTGAGCCCCAAATTTCTGAGGCTAAGTGAAATGTTTGTTAAACGCCTGTTGTCCCATGTTACAGCCTTTCTTGCCACAGGTGTTACGGGAATGAATCACTGCAGTTGTTAAGTTAGAAACATGGTTGTTAAGTGAATCTGGCTTCCCCACTGACTTTTGCTTGTCAGAAGGTCGTGAAAGGGGATCACATGACCCCAGGACACTGGTGCCGTCATAAATAGGAGTCAGTTGCCAAACATCCAAATTTTAATCACGTGACCATGGGGACACTGCAATGGTTGTAAGTGTGAAAAATGGTCATGAGTCACTTTTTTCAGTGCCGTTGTAACTTTGAACTGTCACTAAATGAACTTTTGTAAGTCGAGGGCTTCCTGTATTTTGAAATAAATTACCACTCAAACCGAACCAAGTTTCCTTCTTCCTCCAGTTTACAGCTACTGATTTAATTTCTGTATTATGTCTGTTATGATTTCAGGCCTGTTTGAATGGATGTTTCTATTGTCTTGCATTGTGAGCCATCCAGAGCCATTAAGGGATTGAGCAGCTTATAAATCTTGCAAATGAATCTATGAATGAATAAATAAATATGCTGTTAACAACACTTAATTTTTGTTTGTTTTTCTTTTGACAGGAAGATATGTTTTAGGATGCTGCTTATGAATGCTGTACTGCTTTGAGTCAAGATATTTATTCTTCCTTGGAAGAAAAGTAATAATAATACAAATGATTTATTTATTTACATTTATTGGGCTAATCAACTCAGACAAATGTGACTTTGGGTGACATACATACATAGAAAAAGAGCCAGAAAGTAAACACAATTAAAATAAAACCAACTGTATTTAATAGATGATTGGAAACTCTCAATGTGGCATCCTTGGTGGTTTGTTTGCGGATGTTTCATTACCCAACTAGATAATCTCATCAGTGCTAGTGAGTGTGGGCTTTGCCTCAGTGGTGGGATTCAATTTTTTTACTACCGGTTCGTGGGCGTGGCTTGGTGGGCGTGGTGTAGCTGGGTGGGGCATGGAAGGGGAAGGTTAATGCAAAATCCCATTCCCTCCCCACTCCACTAACCTGCTTTCCAGCTCCGTTCTCCCATGCAGGGCAACAAAAGAAGACCCAGCCAATCAGCTGGGACTCGGGAGGCAGAGAAGAGATGGGGGCGGGGCCAGTGAGAGGTGGTATTCCAAACTACTCAAAATTTCCGCTACCAGTTCTCCAGAACTGGTCAGAACCTGCTGAATACCACCTCTGCTTTGTCTCTTGTTTACATACAGTAGTATGTTTCCTGAACGGCTTGATGATCGTATGCGGTTCCAATAGAAGAAAATATACTGTATGTAGCTCAGGATTGGTCTGTGAAGTCCTTGATGTGTAACTCTCTTTACCAGATGGGTTCTCCTATGATCCTGGCCCCCAAAGGACCATGTTTTTAATGCCTCCCTAAAGCCAACAGGATCAAGGCTAACCATATATAGGGTGAGGGATCATTCCAGAGGGCAGGTGATGCAACTGAAAATGCAATTCTTAAGGGAGGAAGGAGAAATGGAATGGAACAGAATAGCAATAGCACTTAGATTTATATGCCACTTCATAGTGCTTTACAACACTCTCTAAATGGTTTACAATGTCAGCACATTGCTCCCAACTATCTGGGTCCTCATTTTATAGACCGTCGGAAGGATGGAAGGCTGAGTCAACTTTGAGCCGGTCAGGATCACTCCTGGCAGTGGGCAGAGTTAGATTAAAATACTGTATTCTAAGCACTGTGCCACCACAGCAGAATAGAATGGAACAGAAATAGAAATAGAAATAGAATGGAATGGAATAGAAATAGAATAGAATAGAATAGAATGGAAATAGAACAGAATAGAATAACAGAGTTGGAAGGGACCTTGGAGGTCTTCTAGTCCAACCCCCTGCTCAAGCTGGAGGCCCTATACTATTCCAGACAAGTGGCTGTCCAGTCTCTTCTTAAAAGCCTCCAGTGATAAAGCACCCACAATTCTGAGAGGCAACCTATTTCATTGGTTAATTGCTCTCGCTATCAGGAAATGTTTCCTTAGTTCCAGGAAAAGAAGGAAAAGGAAAAGGAAGAGGGGTAGTCTGGTACAGAGTAGTTTTCACTGGGATTGTTGCAAGGGTGAACAAGTCTGACTCCCAATACCATGTCACCTAATTTCAAACACCTTTCTATGATCCTTCAACTTTCTTGGTAGCTATGAATACTGTTAAATGCGGTGGAAGTAATAGAAGATACATTAGATTATTTGAAGGTGGAGAAAAAGGGAAAGCTCAATGCTAAGGCAAAGAGAGAGAAAAAAAATACAATGTCAGGGAGATGAAGAGAGAGAAAAGAGGATGTTTGAAGTTGCAAGACAGAGGATATATCAACAAGAGAGGAAATGGCCACGAAGTCTTGTTACCTATGAAGTAAGCATCCCCCAGTGCCACCCTTAGAGTCCTGGATTCTAGGACTCACCCAAAGTAACATTTCATCAATGGATAGCTCCTCAAATTGCACATGTCCTCAATGGATCATAGAGCTGAGCTACATTTCCCCCTGTCGATAATGCTATAGCAGGAGGGAAGCTTTTGAGATGATTTTGAAGGCTGCAAGGCCAACTTGCTTAGGATTTCAGAGAAGGTCACAATTTCACGCCACTGGAAAAAACATGAAACTAGACAAAACCAGATGCCAGAACAGGACAATGTTCAACTGGGAATCCTTCCAAGTCTGGATGATGCTACGAGAAAAGATGCCAGCTGAACAATATCACTCATACCCGGTCATTTGGCACCCTCTACCGGCTACTTTCAATTGGAGACTTGAATGAAAGGGATCATTCAGTGGAGGAGAGAGGAAGGAGAAATGCAACTAGGAGTCAGGCCAACAACCCAGTAAACAATACCCCAATTAGGAAACTGCCAAAGAAGCCGACAGTTAAAGCTCAAACAAAGAATCTCTAAGACCACAACCACCGCACCAACAAAGCAAGCCACTAGAATATAAACTGACAGCAGCCATCACTTCTTACTAGAACTGATATTACCTAGTTTGGGTCATGAAATGTCTGCAAGAAAACAAGCACGCTCAGAGAACACCAAGGATTCCTCACTCAGTCTGACTCCCTTAATAATTCCTTCGCTCCCGTCGTTCTAGTAAAATCAGTGGTGGGATTCAACTGGTGTAACAATTGGTTTGGTGAGTGCGTGCGTCTACTGCGGCCCCGGTGAGTAAAACAGCTGAGGCGCGGCAAACTGCCGCACGTATCAGCTGTGCTTACAAACAATGATATCAAGCACAGGAAAAGGGCAGGGGCAGGACCAAATGATAACCAGAACTACTGGTTCGCCCTAACTGGTCTGAACTGGTAGAATCCCACCCTTGAATAAAATATATTTTTTAAAAAAACAAGCTGGAACTACTGTTCTTCTTACAATTTACTGAACACCCAAGTTCTTCTCTTTTTTTCCATCTTCGCATCCACCTTGTTAGGTTAAGAGGGAGTATGGTAGATAGCTCAACTGCCAGCCATTCTGGATCCAATCAAACTTCAAATACCTTTTCCAGAATTGATTCCATGCATGTGTAGATCGTAGTATACTAGCCCTAGTTCATGTTTGTTATTTCGGTTAAAAAGCGGGAAAATTATCTTCTCCCTTACCTTGCTGTTTGGCTTCCAACTCTTTCACTTCCAGATCATGAGTCAATTCTAAAAAAAAAAAAAAAAAATGAAGCAGGAAGTTTAAACATGAGATTGTTGATTATTTGACAGATCATTGCAAGGGCTTGCAGACCTGCCACAACTTAAACCTCTAAATAAAACCGATCCTTTGTTCTGTTAGTTGAGAACGACAGTTTATTAGAGATCAAGTGTATTGCAGGAGTGCAAAGCCAGAGCTGAAAATTGTGCGCCAAAATCCCTAAGTTCTATTCTGAATTTGCCGAAATGGCAAAATTGACTGTTTTGTCAGGGATAAGAAAACACGTCCCATATTTTTTGCACTATAAAATGCACTTCCCCCGCCCAAACAGTGGGTGGAAATGTCTGTGCGTCTTATCGAGCGAATGTTGCTGAAGCCCCACCCACCCACTGGCCCCCACCCTTCGGCCGTGTTTGGCCTCCACGCGTCCCACTTTTGGCCTTGGTGCATTGTGTTTTTTGCCCATTCCAGGGGGTGAGGATTGCCACCTATTGCTGCTGCCACTGATCGCCGCTGCCAATTGGTGGTGGCAGCAATCCTCACTGCCTGGAATGGGCCAAAAATGGGATGCATGGAAACCAAAAGTGGGACGTGTGGAGGCTGAAAAATGGGGCGCATGGAGGCCAAAAATGGGACATGCGGCAGCGGCGATAGCGGCGGCAATCTCCACAGCCTGGAACAGCTGATCATCGGTATTTCAGCAGGCAGATCCAACCGCCAACCAGCTGCTCAATGCTAAGTCAGGCTGTGATAACATGCTGAAGCTGACCAGGCTGTTTGCTGCAAGGACACTAGCCAGATGAATACCGATGGAGGCTGGGAGGCAGAGGCAAATATTTTTTCTTGTTTTCCTCCCCAAAAGGCTAGTTGCATCTTATGGCCTGGAGCATCTTATAGTGCAAAAAATATGGTACTTTTATAAAAGAAATGGATTTTTTTTTGCTAAAAATGGGAAAAAATATGATTTATGGTTGTACTGATTAAAAGGGGTTGAATATAAGAAGAGAATCGTATGCAGTCTTAAAGAGACAATAAGTTTGTAATTACTACGGTATAAATCAGATTGGAAGTAATTTATTTATATACGTTTTATTTTTTATCTATATTACTATATTATTTTTTATCACTTTTATCACTTTCTTCTTTTATGTTTTCTTTCTTTCTTTTTCTTTCTTTTACTTTGCATGAATTCATGCTTATCTTTTACTTATGTGAAAATATCTAATAAAAATGATATATTTGAGATGTTTTTCTGAGAAGGGGTCTGATCGATTTCATTAGACTCTGAATGGAATCTATGGTACAAAAAGATCAGGATCTCCTGTTCTAAACAGAAACTAAACCTGTTACTGTGTGGTTTGTGTTATGTTACAACCAGGAAGGTAATGCTGCCTATGTTCAGAGTTTCAAAGGTTTTATGGCTTTAAAATGCAAACTTTTAGGGATTCTCTTGACTTAGTCAGATTGGTTTTAATGGGTTTAATTAAAACCCTTTATTTAAATGGTTGCAGTGGGCTGCTATAAGCAGGTTAATTAAGAGCTTTTAATTGAGAGCCTTCATGTTAGAGGTTTGTAAACTGGTTTTAATTAAGGGCTTTTAATAGAGAGTTTTCTACAGAGGGGATCGTTCCCACTTTGGCATTGCAAAAATAACAATGAAATAAGACAGGCAGACATGTTGTAAATATGCACCAAATTAAATCAACCAATCAGGGTTTGTTCAACAAGGGATGGTTGTCAGACTGAAACCCAAAGATGAGACAGTAAGATCCAATCAAGTCCAATCCTTTGTTTTAACCTGGTGGACAGAATCTTGCCAGACTAAAGCCATAACGTGCACATTCTGTTATACCAGCTTCAGTAATAATCATGCATCTTATTCAACATAGAGAATAAGCAAACCTACTGCGATGTGGAGGTTTTTATTAATATCTTGAGAGGCCCTCTAACTATAGATGATTTAGATGAGGGAATAGAAGGGAAACTTACCAAATTTGCAGATGATACTAAGCTGGCGGGAATAGCTAACACCCTAGAACAGGGTGTCAAACTTGATTTCATTGAGGGCTGCTTCAGGGTTGTTTGACGTCGGGGGGCGTGGTGTGGCCAGCTTGATGTCACTCGTGTCTGTGGTGGCCTGAGCACTCTTGAAGAGAAAACGGGCTCCTGGGCTCCATTTTGGGCTGCAACAGCCTCCTGCAACCCTCTGTCAGTGAAAAGGGAGCTCAGGAAGGCCATGTGCCCGTGGGCCAGGTCTAAGCACTCTGCAGGCTGGATCTGGCCCCTGGCCCTTGAGTTTGACAGCCCTGCCCCTCAAGATAGGCTCAAGATCCAGATGGATCTTGACAGACTAGAACACTGGGCCATATCTAACAAAATGAAATTCAGTGTAGAGGTAAGTAAAGTCCTACACTTAGGTAAGAAAAACCAAAAGTACACATACAGACTGGGTGAAAACAGGCTCAATAGCAGTAATTGTGAGAGGGATCTTGGAGTCTTCGTGGACAACCAGCTAAATAAGAGCCAGCAGTGTGCAGCAGCAGCCAAAAAAAAAGCCAATGTAATCCTAAATTGGATTAACAGAGGGATACAATCAGACAACAGATAATCAGACTTGGGAGGGACCTTGCAGGTCATCTAGTCCAACCCCCCACCCAAGCGGGAGACCCTACACCATTTCTGACAAATGGCAGTCCAATCTCTCCTTGAAAGTCTCAAGTGATGGCGCTCCCACAACTTCCAAGGGCAACTTCTGTTTCATTGGTTGATTGTTCTCACTGTCAGAAAGTTTCTCCTTATTTCCAGGTTAAATCTCTCCTTGTTCAGTTTCCATCCATTATTCCTTGTCTGGCCTACAGGAGCTTTAGAAAATAGCTTGACCCCTTCTTCCTTGTGGCAGCCCCTCAAATATTGGAAGACTGCTATCATGTCTCCCTTGGTCCTTCTCTTTACTAGACTAGCCAAGCCCAGTTCCTGCAACCGTTCGTTGTTTGTTTTAGCCTCCAGTCCCCTAATCATCCTGGTTGCTCTTCTCTGTACTTTTTCTACAGTCTCAACATCTTTTTTATAATGTGGTGACCAAAACTGGATGCAGTACTCTAGGTGTGGTCCTATTAAGGCTTTATAGAGTGGTATTAGTACTTCCCTTGATCTTGATTGTATCCCTCTATTAATACAACTTAGGATTGCATTAGCTTTTTTGGCGGATGCTGCACACTGCTGGCTCATATTTAGCTGGTTGTCCACTAAGACTCCAAGATCCCTCTCACAGTAACTGCTATTGAGCCTGGTTTCACCCAGTCTATATGTGTACTTTTGGTTTTTCTTGCCTAAGTGTAGGACTTTACTTTTCTCTACATTGAATTTCATTTTGTTAGATATGGCTCTGTGTTCTAGTCTGTCAAGATCCATCTGGATCTTGAGCCTATCTTCTTGGGTATTAGCTATTCCTGCCAGCAATCAAGATCAACTGAGGTACTAATACCACTCACTAAAGCCTTAGTAAGACCACACCTAGAGTACTGCATCCAGTTTTGGTCATCACACTATAAAAAAGATGTTGAGACTGTAGAAAAAGTACAGAGAAGAGCAACCAGGATGATTAGGGGACTGGAGGCTAAAACAAATGAAGAATGGTTGCGGGAACTGGGCACACTTCTCTAGTGAAGAGAAGGACCAGGGGAGACATGATAGCAGTGTTCCAGTATTTGAGGGGCTTCCACAGAGAGGAAGGGGTCAAACTATTTTCCAAAGCAGGGGTCGCCAACCTTTTGGATCTCAGGGACCACCAAACTCATAAGTTTAGATCCCAGGGACCACTAACCGGTTCTGTGGGTGTGGCCTAATTTGTGGGTGTGGCTTGGTGGTCATGTGACTGGCTGGGCATGGCTTATATGTAAATATTATAAATATTTATATAAATATTGAATTTTTTATAAAAAAAAGAGCAACTTTTACCTAAAATCAGGCAAAGCAGGCAGGCAGATTGAGTTGCTCACAGAATCACAGATTCATTCAGAGATCTTTGAGATCGGCTACCTGAGCCTGTCATATAAAATTTGCTTGCAAGCAAACCCATAAAATTTGCTTGCAAGCAAAC